CCTCCCATGAACCTCCTTACTCGTCCTCACCTCCTACGACCCCTTTGGCTTCTCCTCACCTCAACCTCTCAGGTGTAGCTCTTCTTGCCACAGCCTGAGCTACACTTTGGGGTCAGGGCCCTGAGCAGCTGACAGGCTCAGGCCTCTCCAAAGAGGGTTAAGTTGCTGGTGCAGACACGTGGGGGATTACGGGCGCGCGGCCAGCGGCACAGAGCAGTGCTGGGCACTGGCACAGGGCACGGGGACAGGTCCCAGCTGTCCTCAGCAGGGGGATGAAGGGAGATTGCATCAGCTCATCCAAAAAACCCCAAACACAGCTCTGCTTTCAGCCCCACTGCAGCTGGTTTGGAGCTGAAGGCACTGGGAACTGGAAGTGCTGTACGTACCTCACTCCCCTGGGAGCAGTTCTGGCATTCAGGGATTTGCACATGGTCCAGGAGATTACAGCAGAAACTTGGCCCAGCAGCTTTAGTACTTGAAAATTTTATTTTCTCAAATGAGCACCAACACATATTGTAAATATGACAAACAATTCGCCTCCCTCTAATACTGAAGAACTATATACAATGTACAAACACATGGAAAGGTGAAACCCAATTATCTGATAACAAACCATTGCCTTTATGACTGAAGCCAATGACCTGAAAGAATATGCCAAAAATTAAAATAAAATTAAAATAAGATCAAAGAAATCAAAAGTATACACAGTTTGTAAACACAAGAGCATCCATAGACGGGCTGGTATTGGAAACATTGTCCTTAGTTTTGTCAGTGGGGAAAGCATTCCCAGTTCCTTATGGAGAACAAAACAAAGGATACACACAGTTGTAAGGATGAGAACAGCTGAGTTGTGGTTGTACCTTACACAATGCCATTCTGCTTGCATTTAAATATGTTGACTTAAGATGGTTTTGTTTCCTCTCTCCTGCTTATTCTTTTCCAACAGGATTCTGCAAAATCTCTGTCTAACCTGATTGTTTCTGAGCATTGGATTTCTGAGGCCTCTCACCTGGTGAGAAGAGCTCCTTCCCACTGAGCTGAGCTCGGGTTCTCTCCAAGCTGCTCCCCCAGCCTGGGCTTTGGGTGTCACCTCTTCAGCCAAGCCCTGGCTCACACGATGCTCCTCCGAGACAAGGAAGTGCAGTGAAATGCATGATCAACACACTCTCACAGACCACTGAGAAAAATGCATACAGAGAAAATTTTCACTGGATCAGCACAAGAAACGACAGGTTTCATCCTAGGGTTGGTTTTCTTTCCTGTGTATTTGAAGTCGTGTGCACCAAGGACAGAGATTCCAGAGCTTGCAACTGTTACTCAGCACTGAAAACAGCTCCTTGCTCAGCAAAACACAGGCCAGTGGTTTGTGCTGTTGGTCCACTTTGGGATAAACAAGAGACCCACTGAATTAAAAACGAAGAAGGGGGAGGAAGGGAGAGATTAAAGACAGAAAGGAGAACAAAAGAAATGAACTTTACTGCCAGAGAGGTAAACTTTGACTCTAATTTGTTATGTAGCAGCCTGGTTTGAAAAAGTAATAAAACAAACATCAACAAAAAAAAAAAACAAACCTCAAAAAGAAAACCAGGATCCATATCCAAAGACTTATGGTTTAGTTTAAAAACAATAACTAGTTAAAAATCTCCATCCTCCATCCCTGCTGCCCCCAAGTAACTGGCAACAGAGATTGTGTCCAGTCCTGTTCTCTGCATCTCCAGATCTACTTCACTCCAGCCAATATTGGTGCAAGAGGAAATGTCAGGCCCAGATCCTACAGAGCAGATCTCCCCAGGGAAGTTGAGGGAGAGCTGCTGTCCCTAACCTGCTCACCACCAGGAGACCCAATCTGCAGGGTGGGAGTGGGAGCTGAGTCCCCTCTCCTGCCACATCCAGAGGAAAAAATGGATCAACTTCAGAGGACAACGTGTACTGTCGTTTTTGTTTCCCTTTCAACACATTTCCCAACAAATACAGAAGGAAACAGTCTCACTTATAAACAACAAAAAGTGCTCTCAGGGAGGGGCTCTGAGAAACCAGCACCAAATATATTATCTTTTTTTTTTAAAAAAAAAATTAAATAGTATTTACAAAAGTCTATTTCACAAGGTAAGGTTTGCTTTTTTTTTTCTGCTTTGTATATATTATCATCTGAATATTTATTACAGGGCTCAGGATTTCACACCAGATAATCCACCAGAGCAACACAACTTAAAACTTACTCAAGGCTGAGCTTTGGGGGAGACGGGGATGTAAACTCGAGGGTGCTCACAGCTTGCCAAACACAGCAAAAGGGAAGGAGAACTCACTGCTGTCCATGTTTTCCCAAGGATTTCACCCATGGAAAGCAGCACCACAGGCACTGCCTGCCCAAGGAGGCTGTTTCCATGGGAAAACATCCAACATCTCCAGCTTGGAAACGACAGTCCCACCTTGCTCACCTGGCTCCAGTCCCGAGGGATGTGACACTGAGGTTCTTTGGTTATGCTCTGAGCACATCACTCTGTGACTCGCTGGATCTGCCCACCCTGCCTGGCACCAGCTACACCCAGCAAGTCACCGAGGAGTTAGCAGCGAACTCAAGTACTTCATATTCACCCAGCAGGGAGCTAAGAGCCCCTTTGTCCTGCTCTCTCCCTGTGCAGTGTCACAGTCACACAGGTTTTTCCTGCCAGGGCTCCAGGGCAGACTCCGCAAGTGTGTGAATCTGCGGATGCTGATGGGACAAAACCAATTAAAAGCAGATTAAGATCTTGCTGTAGTCAAGCTTAGACTGGTTGCCATTAAAAGCCCAACACCTGTGACCAGTTAAAAACAGCCCAATCTGATGGATCACTGTCCTTGCTTGTCCCAAATATAAGGATAAAAACATGTACATCTGGCAGCTCTGTAGTTCTTATTCCTCAGAGCAGTTCTCTAGGCAGCTCTGCCTTTTGTACCACTTTTTCATCACCAACCACTCTCAAGACAACAAACATGAGCTCCTGGGTGCTCTCCTCAACCTCACATGATTTGGGATTATCCCTGGCTTCTCTCAGCTCCAGCCACACTCCTTTAGAGGCTGCATGTCCACAGGGACTCAGGACCTCTTTGAAGAACAGAAATTACTTCCCACTAGTCAAAACCCACCAACTTGTCACGGATCCCCAAGCAAAGCACAGGGAATTGAGACCAGGTCAGTGCCAAAGTCAACAAGATAGTGGGTGCTGTGGAATTTTTGATTTCTACTCCATCGATCACCGAAGGGAATGTGGATGATGGAGCAGAGACAATCAGAAAGGAAAGCTGAAGCAACTGTTACACAGCCACAGCAGAAAGGGTGAGGGCAGAAGTCACCTCCTAACAGGCTGGTCCAAAACAGAGCCAACTGCACCCACTGCAGGACCAGGCCAGCCTCCCCTCTCATTCCTCTCTCCAAGGCTGTGATGAACAGAAGTTTGAGATAAAAACCAGCCTTTGCTTCATCAGGTTTGGGTTTCAGTGCAAGGAGCCAACACTGAGTTCCACCCTGATCCCTGGGAATCATCCATGCTCACATTCCCTGCCAACTGAACACCAAGTGGCTCTGTCCCCACCAGCCCCTCGTGCTGATCCCACAGCAGCTCAGAGGCTCTCAGAGGTGGGAGCCAGTGACAACAGATTACAGCTCCAAAGCTTCTGTTTCATAAGGAGTTACAAACCCCTGCACAATACTCTTTCCTTCGGGATTAAGAAAGATTTCCCCCATTGGATTAACCTACTTGAAAGAATTCCACAAACAAAAAGAAAATTCACTCAGAGAGAGATCAAACTAATTCAGTTGAATAGTCTTGGAGTTATGCACCAGATACTGGCTGGACTGTTGCAGATTGTCACTGCCCAACACAGCTCCCCTCACACGACACCCCTTCCCCACCATCCACCTTGGGAAGGTCCTCAGGAATCACAATGGAGAAATTAAAATGGGAAGGACTTGTCCCTTGCAGTTTGATGCTCACATCTATCCTCTGCTTTAAACTCCAAGGCAGAGACAATTTCAGGGGTAAGGAAGATGTTTGATTTCTTTTTTCCTTTCCCATATCCCTCTCTGTGCCTGCAACAGAGTAGGAAAAGGGGGGAAGGTTTTGGGGAGGATACCTCATGGCTTGAAATATCCACCTGTGCAATACTGCTACAACCTCTGCTCACTCCTCTCCTCACTCTCACCCCAGGACTCCAGACTGGAGATCATGGCTGGGGCCTGGGATTGAAGAAAAAGATTCTGTAACAGCATTTTCCTTACTTGCACTTGTGAAGGATTGGTAAAACACCCCCAAGGATGCTCAGTGGAGGCAGGAAATCCAGGGGTACCCTCTGGTACTAAGTTTGTCCCCATCCTCCTCTAGGGAATATCCTCTTCCTTGCCTAGCACATGCCTTTTCTTCACCCCTGTCATATCTTCTAAGCTGCAGCTCCAACCTCCTTGTGCCTTAAAGTGGTTTTCTCCTCCTCTCTGCAGGGCTCAAGAGTCAGATTTGGTTTCTCCAGCTGGGAGGATTCTCCCCACAGCCAAGCTCTGTTGGGATGTTTGGCCTACCTACCCCAAACCAGCGATAAAAAGGAGAGGCAGGGAATCTCTCCAGCCTTCAGGTCCTTCCCCCCCACCCCAAACAACAAGTTCATAAACAGCAAACAAAACACAGATTGCAATTAGCTTGTGGGGGGAACTGGTTATGCCTTGTGCTCAGCCAGCTCAGGCCGAAGCGGAGTCACCGCGCGGAGACAACGCAGCCGTGAGGTATTTGTCTGTCCATTTAGACAAGGAGATAGTTTCAAGCCTTGGTTAACCAGGACTTAAAGGAGAAGTACAGTGTCAACTTCTGATGACTTCCCTTTGAGCACACTCCCCACCCCCTATCACCTTCTCCTGCCCAAAACTTGGGTCTTCCTCCCGCACCGAGACCTCCTGGTAAAATGCCACCATGGAACTCCTGGTAAAATGCCACCAAGGAGCTCCTGGTAAAATGCCCCCACAGAGCCAAGGTCAGTTTGTACTCAAGCACTGGTCACATGGAATGGCTGTCGGGCACTCGGTGCATTCTCTGAGCCAACGCCAGAACAGAGAGAGAAGCAGCCAGGGTCAACTCACAAACAGATACAAAGCAAAGAGACAGAGAGACAGAAATTTAGAGGCCAGTCACCAATAAAGATGGAGAAGGGTGTGAAGATGCTCCCAAACTGCAGAGCCTCTAAATGCATGGAACCAAGCGTTCAGTCACTCTCTCACTCTTGGATATAATGTTCGGTTGGATGGCATTCTCTTACACGCTGCTAGGGCTGGGCCTTCCCACTCAATCCCAGCCATTATCCTTGATCATGTGAGCTAGTTCAATGATGTATTTGCCTTCTTTATACTTCTGGCTGCTTTCAAAAGCGTGTTCCTGAAAAAAGAGAGGGGAAAGAATGAGGTCAAGATGATGTTTGAGGGTAAAGTCACATCTCGTCCGGGAATCAGAGAATCATCAAGGTTGGAGGAGACTTCTAAGATCACTGAGTTCAACCATTAACCTGTCACTGCTCTAACCCCTAAACCAGATCCTCCAGCATCAGATCCAGACAATTCTTCAGCAATTCCAGGGATGGTGACTCCACCACCTCCCTGGGCAATATTCCAGTGCCTCAGCACCCTAACAGGGAAAACAATTTTCCTAACATCTAATGTGAATCCGATGCTGATGCAAGTCTCAGCCTTGTCTTAGCCTTGTCTGCAGAGTAAAACAGGCAAACTGCAGGTCTTCCTCTTGCCTTTCAGGAAAATGATCTGGAGCAAACTGCCTCTTGCCTTTCAGGAAAATGATCTGGGAAGAATCTTAACTCCCGCTTCTATCTGGGAAAAAAGAATCATTCCTGTGTGAGGTGCAGATTTCTGTAGACCAATGGCAACTGCTCCTTCAGCTAGGGTTTGGGAATCATCAGTGATAAAATCCACCTCTCTCCAGCCAATGGCGACTGCTCCTTCAGCTAGGGTTTGGGAACCATCAGTGATAAAATCCACCTCTCTCCAGGGTGGTCTGAGAATTGACTGATGTTTGTTAAGATTTCAGAGGCTCTCTGGTGGAACATGCTGTAAAAGCATCACCCCTGGGAATGGGATGGATTAGGACAAGCTCCATGTGGGAATGAAGTCCCACAGATCTGTGCTTGCAGCTATGGGAACATGCAATGCTTCCAGACTGCAGTGCTGGAGAAGGAAGGAAACTTCCAGGATTCCTAACATCCCTAACCAGGAGGGACTCCCATTTATTGTGGCTGCATCCTCAAAATCAGCTCAGCTCAGGAGCTCTCCTCGTGTGCATCCAATGCACCTGAAAGGATGTCACTCCTTGCTGGAGAGGTCTCTGCTCACTGCTGTATTTATGGAATTAAACTCAATTGATGTACTTAGTGTCCTTCTCCATTTGTGAGATCCATGCTGTGTTTCTGCATGGATTCCTACCACATCCATTTTTGATGCTTTCCTTTTTATAGCCTTTCAACTCCTTTAAGTGAAGAATATTTCTGTCCAGAGGCCACAAAAACAAAACAGTTTGTTTAAATACTGGTCAAGACATTCTGGCAAACCAGTGTGCTCTGTGCCTCCAGAAGCAAAATTAGGATGTAACATAAGCCTTCATTTGAAGGTAATTGAATTTATGAAGAGACAACAAACAGATAAAACCCTGCTCAATAGGATTTCCAGTGGGGAAGAACACAGGATGAATAATATATGGAGCATTTTATTGTGCTGATATCACGTAGGAAAAAAAGAGTGAGAACCACAAGGCTGAAGTTATCCCCATTTATGTTACATGGCACTAAGGAGCAGCACCAAAACCAGGCTCAGGGTGTATATTCTCAATAAAAAGCTGCATCAGATCTCCTGCTCTGAATGGATGCAACCAACCCAAGCCAGGAGGGAAAATGGAAACACAGGAAGGAAAACTGATGTGGTTAGAGAAGATCCTTCATTCCAGGTTCCCAAGTGAATGGTCTTTCCATGCTACCACACACACAGACACAGAAAGGGCTGGAGCAAAGCTGTCCACATGCAAACCAAATGACCCTGATACTCACATATTTCCAACCCAGTGTGGTTTTGCAGTTTTCACAGTAAATATCTGCGACCGCATGTAATCCCGTTAATAACACTCGTTCCTCCGCGGGGCCACAGCCCACGTTAACTCTGGGGAGAGAGCACACACCTCCCTGTTAGTGTCTCTCCAAGATGCTCCAAGAAAGCTCACCAAGATTTCCTTGCAGTACTAGAAACCATAAGCAGCAAGCTGAGGATACTGAGTGCCTCAGCTGTGCCTGCCACAAAGAGCTTTTGCAGTTCCCGAACAGGATGAAAAGGTAAAATGTCATTTTTGTTCAACTGAAAATTCTACAAAAGCTTTGAAGAGAAGATTAATAACATTCCAGGCACTTGTGCTAATTAGGCGTTTGAGAAAGATTTTCATTTTCAAATTGATAAAATGGTACTTTTACTTTCCCAAATGGAAAATTGAAAAATGTAACTGGAATCAGCAGTTCTGAAAGACATCCCAGCAGTGACCTCACCACAACTATTTTCAGGCACTGGGAAAATTATCCTTGGGTTTTATGCTAGCTCTAAAAAGTGCATATTTAGATATCACTTCTCTCCACATTGAGGAAACTCTGGCTCTTTGGTCCAACTACATCCTCTGAGAAGAGAATGACTCATCCATTAGCTCTTATTTCTCCATCTGATGCTGAAAAAAAAAATCACCTTTTCCTAACTGCTTATCTGAAACCTCAACATGAAATCAAATATGAATCAGGGCTATTTCCTGTCTCTCCAACCCTTTTCAGCAAGCTCCCAAGCCCCAGGCAGAGGTTTTTTGAAGGGAACTATCCTTTTGTTTTCCTCTTCACAAGGGTTTGCTTAAATCTCTCCTAAGAGACAGTGACATGCACAAGGAGTACTCACACTGAATTGAAGAGGTATGCTCGTCCTTGGCTTCCTTGGAAGGACTGAAAGGCAAGAAAACACAGTTCAGTTGGTTGCTTTAGAGAGAAGTGACCAAACCAGGCCTTGCCCTCCAGGACTCCATGAGTGGTGGTTATGGCAATGTTATCCAGGGCCTGGAAACACATTGCTATGGTCCTTGGGATGGAAAGAGCACACAGAGAACTGCTGGGAGATGAGCACTGCTGAGCAGAGGTTCTGTCCTGCACACAGGGAGGGAGCAGCTGCCTCCAGCTCTAAGGCCTGCCTGTTTCCCAGCCCAGTAGGAACCACCTGGAATTGGAAGTGCTTCCAGTGCTCTGCAGGCCCAAAGTTCTTCTCAAGAGTGGAGATGTCTTCTCTGTTACATCCCACCAATGTCTACTTTCGCCCTTTCACTTATGAATTTCACACCACTCCTCAACCTTACCTAAAAGCTGCCAAATGTTGCTTTGAATCTCTTTTCTAAACTCAAAGTGCTCACAGAAGCTTCCTGTTCACTGCTACAGCTGGAACACCATCACTGCACTTGACAGCACGTGGATTCCCCCTGGGAAAACTGCACAGAGAGATGGTGAACCAAACGGAGAGATTGGGATCTATTTGTGCCAGGCACTGTGCACACAAATACAACCTCTACTCTAGTGATTTTACAAAAGACCTTAACCTTGCTGAGGTGTCTGCAAAGCCTTCATACTCCCACTGATGCCAGGGAGATCTTCAGGGCTGGATCTAAACACAGGATGAGATACAACTGGATAGAGATGAACATGGACAAGAGAACAACACAGCAGCAAAACCACAGCAGACAATCATGGCACATCCTCTCTGCCCCACATTTCCTGGGATCTTACAGCCTCACCATGGAAAGGCAGAGCCTGGCAGCACACTCCAGGTATCCAGGACACTTCCAAGAGGCAGCAAACTCCACTGTGTCACGTCTGTAACATCAGCCTGTGCCAGTGCCTGGCTGACAAGAACTGGCTGACATGCAGCAAGTGCCACCTGCATTTTTAATGTCCTATGACAAGCACACACTGAATTAAACATTTGGTGCTTATGAGCAGCAGCACAGCTGTCTGTACACAAGTTACCTTACAGGATACCTCAGGGAATGTCTGCACTGAGGGGCAAGGAGCTGGGAAAGTCAAAAAGCAGCTTTTTCTGGACCATTTAATCCTTTATCCTGCACCTTACTAGGAACTTTGGAATATTTCATGGTTTCCTTAAAACCTCAGTTTCTATAGGGGAGTGATGATTTCATGGATAAAGAGCCTTAAAAGGGGGGATAAAGGGTTTTAAGGGGAAAGAGAAGCAGACAAGGTTTTACCTCCCTCTAACACTGGTCATCTGTTAAAAGCAATCCCACACCACATACAGCAATCTCTGGGGGGTCCCTGCTCTCCTCTCCTTCCAGCAATCCAGGGATGCATCCTTGCACCTGCCCAGCTCCTGCCTGATGGAGAAACAAAGTCAAAGCCATGACAACTTCCTCCTGGGAAGATGCCCAGCTGCAAAAGGCTCCTTCCCATAGAGCAGAGACACCTCTGCGGGCAAACACGATGCCACAGCCAGCACTGCCAGCTGCCTGTGAGGTCTGCAGGGCACCCAGGGCTCTGCCAGCTATAAAGTCACTGCCTGGCAAGGAATTCACTCAGTCCTGGAGGAATAACTGTTCTTCAGAGGAATCTGCAGCCCAATATTAGTTGCCACCCAGGGCACAGCCACTCTGGATTCAGAGAGGATGCCTGAGGCAGTCGGATATCTCTTTCACTCAGACAAAAGCAGTGCCCTGAGGAATGCTTCTTTTCTTGGGAAGGAATTAAATGGGACACATGGCTCAAGCATGTTTGTGTAATTGCATTTATTAGAGGAGCTTCTTTTAATCCTTCTGCAGCACTCCAGTTCTCAATTACTGTTATTGTCAGCTGGCTGATACCCCAACATGCCAACTAGGTCTGGCCTGGCTGCTACAGAACACACTCTGCATTGTTCCTACCTCCTGGGTGGGGAAGTGGGAACTGAAAGCTGATGCCTCCCCAGCCAGAAAGGAGAGCCCAAGGCAGAGCAGGCACAGCTCTACCTTGCTGCAGCAAACAGGAGAGGCCCTGGCTGTCCATGCTGCAGGAGAGGGATACCAGCCTGGAAACATGGATGGGGATAAGGGATGAAACACAAAGTCCCACAGCAACAAATGTGCCATCAAAGCAAAATGAAAGCAGATGAAGTTTGCTAACCATCCAGTCCTTCCCAGTAAATAGTTTTCCATAAACACCAAAGTGACTAAGTTTGCCAATAACAACAACTATGGGAGCAAAGTTTTTATTGGTACAGAAATAGGATTTTCCATTCAAAGTCCTGTCCTTAATAAACAACAAACCCAAACCCACCAGCTCTGTGCTGGGGCTCATTGTTCCACTCCAGCCCACTCCCAGGGGCAGTAACATCCTTTCAGAGGTGTTTTAGGGTGTCTAAGGGCAGACACTGGGAAAAAATCATCCTGCCCAAGCCGAACTTTTCACCATACCACTGCTCAGCTTCCAGTGCTGCTGCTGTCTTAATATTTGCCCTCCAGCTAGCTAAGGATTTGGCAAACATTTAAAAAGAAGTGAGAGAAGCCTGGCAACCACAAGTTCCCCAGTGCATTTGCTCTCTGCAAGACTAAGCTGTGTGTATCCCTGAAACGGAGGCACCGGCAGCTTTTATCTGGGTGTTGTAACCTGAGCATTCACTGGAGATGTTCCTGCTCTCCTGGCACGCCAGAAAAATTGGCACATGCTGTAATGGGAACTACAAAACCAGAAAAAAACACCAGGTATATTTAAACACAAGCAGATGTTGTTGCCTTTGTTTTTGTTGCTTGTTTGTTTGTTTTAAGAAACACACGAAGAAATTTCCACAACACACTTGCTTTTCACTGAAGTGACAGTCCGCAGGAAGACCTACTTTCCCTGCTCTGCATTTTCTCTATGTAGATTTTCCTGATACACATTCAAAGGTGCATCTCACAGCACACATTGAAATCCAGACTTCTTGTTCTCTCAAGCAACAGCTCCTGGCATCACTTTCCAGCTGAAAGAAATGGAAAGGATCATTTTTTGTTGTTGTTTCCCATTGAAAGCCCAAGCACATATTTTTCTCTGCACTGCTAATGCTCCATGTCTGGCTGGAAACACATCTGTATATGCCAGCAACAAACCCCTCCCAGCCAGTCCTGTCTGAGCCCTCTGCAAAACAACACTGAGCTTTTGGGATTTGAGATGCACAACAACTTATTCCTCCTGACACTTGAGTTCAGAGACCTTCCCCACTCCTGGGTGCTCAGCATCTGAGAGCTGCAGGGCTAAGGAGTGCTGATTTGAGCACCCAGGTGGGAAACCACAAGCCTGGAGTCAGCAGTTTGGAGCAGATCCTCTCCTGCCAAGCTGTCTCTCCTCACAGCAGAAGCTCCATCTTAAGATGCTTTGGCAGCTGCTCTGCTTGAAGAAGTTCCTACCACCCAATCTACAGACACTCCTTTTGGCCCCTTCAGCTGTGCTGATTCCAAATGAGAGCTGTGAAATCATCGTTTGAAAAAGCAAATGCCCTGTGTGAGTTGGGTGGGTTTGAAGGAAAAGGATTTTTCTCCTTTCCCCCATCCTGGATCCAGCTGAAAGGACAACCCCACCGAGTTTGTAACCACAGTATGGGGCAGAGAAGTCCTTCAGAGTAGGAAGTTCTCAAGCACAATGTGCTGGCAGAGAATCACAGTGCAGAACTGCAGCTCTGGTGTGCAGGAGAGGGAGTTTGGGTTCCACAGTGTGAGGTGCAGCCAGGTGTCCTGCAAGGCTCAGGGCTGATACATTCAGCTCCCACCACCTTGGGAGCTGTTGGTTTGGTTATATTCTGCTCTCGACCCAAAGTGCTAAATCTCCTGCTCTGAGCATGAGGCAGGAGCGACAGCACAGCTCTGTGTGGAGAGGAGCTGTGCCTCTCCACCACTCCAGCCCGTCCCACCTCCCTCAGCCCTCTGCTCTTGCACGTTCCCCTCACTGGAGACACAAGCAGAAGGAAATTTTGACATTCCCTGGGCGATGCCAGGGCCAGGCAGGAGCTGTGAGTGCGCTCCGAGCACACCCACGCGCCATCCTGCCTTCCCCCAGCTCCTCATTCACTGCACGGCCCACTCAGCACTTCCACAGCCCAACAGATGACAGGATTAATACCCCGAGTCTTTGTGATGGGCTTTGACAATAGGCTCGACACAAAAAGAGCTGGCTGGAATCATCTGGAAAAATAGGAAGCAGTTGCCAGGACTAAATGGCTCCGTCCTGATGGTTGCTCTCTCTGCAGACTGCGGCAGAGAGAGCCCTCCCTTACCTTTATCCAGCTGGCAGCCTTTCCACAGCCCAATAAAACACAGAGCAAAAGGCAACTGGTCCCAAAGAGGTATGAGGGAATAAGAACAGAGTGTGCCCCTTCACACTATGCTCCTGAAAGCTACAAATAATTCTCACTGCAGGGATGCAAAGCCATTGCTGGAGAGCCACAGCCACTGGCACGTCCCAGGCAATGTGAAATGGCAGCACCAGGAGAAGCCAAACCACCACAGCCACCAGGAGTCTGCAAAAAAAGACATGTTCTGTGTGCCTGTGAGATCCCCACTGGGACAGAGCAATGCAGTGAGTAAGAGAAATGGTATTACTAAGCCCTGGGCACTGAAGTCTGTGTCAGAAAAATCCATCTACTCACAGACAGCTCTGTGATCACTTATTTCCCACCTGTACACGTTTCCCACGTGTACAACTTGTGTTTTTGAGTTACTACTGTCATTTGCACAACATTGACTGTAAGATTTAGCTGTCCTCACTGCTGATTTAACCCTTAAACATCTGAGAATGAGACGTGCTATAAAATACAACTTGAACAGGGAGAGAAGAGCTTTAAGCAAGACCAAAGTGTGATGCCAATCCAACTGGAGTACTCATGCTATGAAGATGTGCTCCAAACCACAGACTCTCCTCATGCTCATCCCACTCCCTCCAGC